AGTCGGAAGAAAAAAAGAAGAAACATAAACGACACCACTGGGCCGAGTCGCTTCCTCCACGCTTTCACAACTGGACCGATGGGTAGCGAGCCACTTCTGAAAGGTCGCCTGCAGCTCCGTGGAGAGGCGCCAGGCCTCGCCAGCCGGGCCAAAAGCCAAATCGGTTAGTTCGCAGTGAACATTCCAATCCCCACTAAGACTAAAATGGGTGGTGCACCTACCCCAAAATGGTACCACTGGTTTTGACCCACAGCCAACATCCGATTCAATCCAACCACTAAAATAGGAAGCCTAACATGGGTGGCGAATTCGCCTACCAAAATGGGATCCTAAAACGCTTTGACAACCACAGCCATTGATCCAGCTTTCCCATTGATCTGGCGACGAACGGGAAAATGGCACCATTCTAGGCGTACCTTCCCTCCAGGACCTGCGCCTTGGCGTTTTTTCTTCCTTTTGTTCAGGTTTTTGTTTCGGGCATTTCCATTTTTGGAGCCTTTCAAAAGTTCTAGGGGTACCTTGAAGGTACCATTATTTCCAGGGTTTCTGGAAACCTCCGGAATCGGGAAAGGGATCCGGATTTTGGAAAGAACGATGGTTGAAAATGAATGGGGAATCAACCCCTAGAACCACCCAAATTACACCTTGGCAAAAGAACGGCCTGCGGTGTTTGCAAATCTGGGGCTGCGACGTATAGAGAAGGTGCGGCGGCCGGCGGCTGAAAATCCGTGTCCCAATATCCATTTTGTCGCTCTGTGGCCTCGAAATCCCTGATAAGGTTCTGAAAAACATTCTCCTCACGCGGTTTGAAGCAAGTGGCTGGCAGGGCATCAGAGTTTTGAGTCACGCAACGCACGGTTCTGCAAACGTGGTGCCGGTAAAAGAGCATTTGGATGTGCTTTTCATCAAGGGTGCCCTTTTTGGTTGGTTAAAAGGGGAACAAAGCGCAAACCAAGCGTTGTTGGGCCCGAAAAAAGACACACCCATGTGCCAAAAAGCAAAATACAACAAAACACACCTGCGCGATAGAGAGGCATCCACCAACCGAACAGAACGACTGCGCAAGCAAGAGCTTGAACTTGTTCTATCGCAGAACGTCCCTACTCGTGGAGCATTCGCCCAAGCAACCCAGGTCACTGCCAACAAAAAGACAAGCCTCCTCTGATCTCTCCACAGTAACGCCTGACCCAACCAGACCACCGCCGCAAGCGTCTCCTCGAATGCCTGCCATCGCTTCTTCACCTCCCATCCAGCTGCGTGTCGGTAGGCGAGAATCTGATCCTTTCGGCTGACCTGCTTCAACATTGTCTCGTCCTTGGAGCAGCCAGGGCCCCAAATGCGATACAACTTGGTTGCTGTTGACCCCCCTGCAAAAAGCTTAGCTTTTGGGGGGTTTAGTGGAAAACCCCCTTGATTTCCAAAAAAATATGTCAAAGTCTAAAGATCCGTTGCCCAATAGCAGTCAAGACATAGTCATAACGCAAACCATCTCAACTAGCGGAGTCCAGGAGGATCTGCAACCGCCAAGATATGTTGACGAATACATGATCTAACATGGCCGACGAGAGTGCAGAAACCACCTCTTGTTTTTTGGGGTGGCTTCAACATCAAGGGTAGGCAGGGCAAGTAGTAGTGAACTTTGTCCAGTTCGCCTCCATCTACCCGTATCACTTCCCACCCATTCCAAAGCTGCAACACAGGTTTCGCGAGAATCCGAAAGAATTCCAAGGGCTTGGCATACCAAATCTCGGTTGCTTTCTGCTTCCCGGCTAAAGCTTAACTTTAAGTGGATCAAATGGAAAACTCATTAGTTGGCAACAAGTTGAAGTCCTAACATCCAAGCCAAATGCACCAAAGAAATCTGCCTCCACTGCAAACCTGCTCCAAGAGGTGCTGTAGGACGCCCGAAGAAGCTTAAAGAAGCAGCCATGTTTCTAGGGGTAACTTCCCCATTCTTTCCAGAGATCCTTCTTGCTAGGCTGAAAAGAATGGGCAATCAACGCCTAGAATCTTAAATATACCTGGGGGCGGGTCCGGTCCATGCTCCCACAGACGCGCAGAACAAACAAACTTTCACAGGATTGTGCGACAAAACCCGGAAGAAGCACATCTGCTTCCATTTGGTTAAGGCCGCAGGAAAATACAACTATTTCCAGCAGTGATGGATTCCAAGGGAAAATAATAATAATAATAATAATAATGATAAAACAACTTAAGCAAATGGAGGTCTGTTGTATTTCTGCCTCCATTCGAAAACCCCTAGAGTTGCTGATGTCAAGGGAGGTTTCATCCACGTTTTGGGGCATCGTGTCCACTGCCCACCCCCCCTGCTTGACAGGATGTTCAATGTTGGGCGATCATTAAAAACAATTTGAGCCGCCCGGCAGGATCGGTCAAGCATCTGTGCGGTCCAGCGTGTGAAAAGTATGCACGTGTCCATCACCTGTCTCTGCAACAAAGTAGATCAAGGGAGTCTCTTGATAGGGGTCGCGTTTGTTCCAGTCAGCCGCAATTGCAAAGCGTGTAATCCCCGGTCTGGTGAATCGAAACGTTGCCTTTTCTTCCTTGTGCCCCTTGATGATGCCGCGCCAGGGACGACCTGAGTTGGTAAGGTCAATCTCTACCCACCATTTCTGTTCCAATGCTTTCAGCATGGCAGGCTGGCAATTCATCCGAATCTCATTCACAGTCGGCTTGCTAAACTCTTGCTCTGGTTGTCCTTCAGCCCACATCTCCATGTTCTGCCAGAAGCCCCAGCTTTGCATGTCATAGAACCTCTGGATCGGCTCCTGAGGGAACCACTCACTGCGAAAGATCTCATCCATCACCCTCTGCCGAGTTTGTGGCAATGTCCAGGCCGTTTTTTGGCACAGCGCTGCCAGCCCCAAACATCCCGCTCGGGTGCGATGCTTCACATCTCGCCCCACACCTATGACGGAGTGTCCCTGGTGCCTGAACCGGTCGGTGAAAAAGACATCCTCAGTCGCCAAAACGACCCAGAAATAGGTCTAAAACGGAGCCGGAAGGGGAAGCCAAAAGGTCAAAAGATCGATTCGCTTTGGGCAAGTGAGTGGCTGGGAAAATCCGTTGGAAGTCTTGGTTCACGGAACGTGGAAGATCATCTCGTTCTGGCTCTTGACTCACACCGGCAGCTTCATAGAACCATGTCTTGGCGTCCGCAAAGATTCTGGCCAGCTCATCTTCGCACAAGATCACCAAGGTGGTGCGGTCATACCACCAAACCCAGGACCCCGACACTGGCAACCATGGCTCTCTTGCTTCCTGCGAGGCTCCATCTGCTTCCCACTGCCCCTGCGAAGGTTGTGTCGCAGGCGCGGCTCCCGGTCTCAGCAGCAGCTTTCGCGGCCTGGCAGCCAGCTGCCGGAAGTACTCCGAAAGCTCCGGCGGCATGTCATGACACGTCAGCAGCAGCCGTGCGAGCACCAGCGCCAAGAGCGCCGCTTGCTTGCGCTGCTTCTTGTTGCCTTGGGAGCTGATCATGAGTGTTTTTTTCACCAAAGACCATGCAGCTGTGTACAAACTCCATATGATTCCGTGGCTTAAAGAACATGCCTATCGTGTAGAACTGGGTAATTGTTGGGCCACGTGCTGCCACTGCCCCAGTGAAAATGCCATCTGACCCTTGAGTTGAAGCACAGTGTTGGCAACAACCATCCTGAAAAGGGAAACCAACGAGTCACGCCAGATTCTTTCTTGGTCACCTACAGGCACGGAGAATCCTGGTCATGTCCAGCCAAGGTACTACCCAGGCCAACGGCATGCAAATCTTGACCATTGTACTGCCAGCTGAGGTAAGTGACATCTCCACTGCCACCCTCCACTTGTTCCAACAAAGGCTCAATTCCCATGACAGCCTCAAAGGGCCACTCCTTCTCACAGTCACGACAATTCACCATCTCAAGCAAATGCTGGGCGTGGGATGGAAATTGGCTGGCCTTCGATCTGTCAACAGCATCAGCATCCACGATTACCAGCTCTACATCCCGTTCTGCAGAGAAGCTGGCTCGGCATATCCTTGCCATGGCGAATATGGCACTATTCTAGGGGTACCCTCCCCATTCTTTCCAGGGATCCTTTCCAAAATCCCACAAAAATCCCAAGGAAAACGGATCCGGTTTTGAAAAGAACGATGTTTGAAAAGAATGGGGATTCAAACCCTAGAACTATGCTGTCGCGTCCAGCGACCCTTGGACCGCTGAAGCAGGCATCCACAAAAACGATCAGACGAAACACGCGTTCCAAGCAATCACGGCAATGGACGAGCCAAGAGTGCGATGGGAAAACCATGGAACTTCATGGAACACGATGGAGAATACGCAACAAAATTCTCAAACATACATCCAGTTGTTTTTGTTGGTGTCCGCGGTTGACCAGATACGACCATCACTTTATTCAAATGGACATGCATCCCTGCCAAGGAAGCAGCCAATCAGGCCACTGCATCCACGATTGGCCCCATCTTGGCCCAGCTGCTCAGTGTTCGTGGCCAAAAAAAGGAACCAATTTTGGGATTGGCCATGTCAGGGAGGGGGGGGGGGGGAAATCCACCAAACAACAAGGGGGACAGGGTGTAATAATTGGGCTGCAAAAGATACGTTCATTTTTGATTGGCCCAAATTGACACATCTGATCTGTGCAATCGGTGGGTTCAAGCTAGTCATAGCAAGTACTCGCCCCTTGTGTTTTCCTCCAAATGCACTACTGAGCAACCAATGACTGGCAAATCCAGTAAAACGGGTAGCCCCCGTAATTGCTTGCAGTGTTCGAGAAAAACAAGACAAATTCCAATTCACACCCGCTTGGAGTTAATTTAAAGTTTTACCAATACACGGTTCCTTAAAGGATACAACCAACAACCGCCTACTTTACAAGGGGAGCCCCTAAATCAGCTTTAACCAATGCGCTTTTTCGGCCAAGACGCGGAGGGAGTTGGAAGTTGTTGGCCGCTCTCTGCCCAGCATCCCATCCCATCTCCGCGCCTCGGCTGGTGACGGCAGCTAGCACCAGTTCCTGGCTTCGACGGTACTTTTTCCGAACCAAAGCATCGAGCCTGTCCAAAGGTCCCAGCCAGTGGACGCTTCTGGCCAAAAATTATCTCGTCGTAGTCGGACTTTCCACCTTCGATTGGTGATCAACCCCTAACCTGTGCTTGGTTGACGTTGGAAGGGGAGCAAAAATTTAAATTTAGCAGTTAAGTGGGGATTTCCCACTAAACCACAATAAGCAAAAATGTAAAATGTTTCCCAACAACAACCATGTGTGGTGGACCAAAGGATCTAAGCCTCCTCCTCTCCACTAAGGGGTTGAAGTTCTGGACCTGGCCCCATGCTGTGAATCAAGCGCTTCCTGGCGGCTCCCGGTGCATGGGGGCACTGAAATTTCCCTACCCTTGGCTGCCTTCACAGATCCATCACTTCACATGAATGGCACTAAGCTGCGAAGGAGAACCTGGGTATCTGATACCTGAAGCTTCCAATACGGCTGGAGCTACACATCTTCCCCAAATGGGAAGAGGAGGCGAGAATGCAAACCCAAGCCGCAAACCCGGCAAAGGGTCGCAACTTGGAGCTCAAGTCTCCATGCGGTTCAAAGTGTACCTATCCCCCCTTCTGTAGGCCAAGATTCCATTCATCTAGTCTTCCCAAGGGAAAATGGAACCCAGTTCCCATTTCAAAGGGGGGGATGTGTGCCTCTGCAACTTCCATCTTCCCTCGAAGCGGCCGCGAGAACCCGCCTTGCAGCCTCTCAGCGGCTCCTCGGTGAAGCGCTTGAGGCGCAGATGAGGCAGTTGTGACCAGGGACCCGAACCTCCAGAAACTTCCAGGGTTCTTGTATTACGCCCTGGGAATACGCCCTTGGGAAATGGCCGTAAAATTGCCCAAAATAACCTGACTTTATCCCGGACATATGCCTGAATGGGGTCATTTACCCTAAGGGTTCCCATTTTGGGGCCTCCAAATGGGCTGTTTTTGAGGGCCCAGGACCTGAGAAGGGGGGACATCTTCTTGTTTTGTGTCTGGGAACTAATTACTGCGTTTTACTTGGGTCTACGCTCCCCCCTTTTGCTTGTGGGGTGATGCCAAAGGCAAGTGCTCTGCATGGAAAAGAACGACGTCGGGGGTCTCAGAAGGACCCTTTCAACGCGTTTTTGGAGCCTCGCGCCTGGTGATTCGCCTTCTTTGTGAAAGCCAGGTGCCCCCAAAAAAACAACGAGATTTCAGGCTGCTGAACTCGGAAATCCGCCAATCCGGCGCCACTTGGACACCGCAAAGTGGGAAAGACCTAGCCAACGGATGGATAGGTAGTAGACTGCTCAACGGAAGCTAGCATAAATCTAGGGGTTGATTCCGCATTCTTTTCAGCCATCGTTCTTTTCAAAAACCAGCCATTTCCCCAGGGCTTTTGGCGGTTTTCTAGAAAGAAGGATCCCTGGAAAAAATGGGGAAGATACACCTAGAATAAAGTGACAGATTGTGGTTGCAATTTAGCCTCCGTTCCCAGCACGGACCACGAGTGATCACCTTGAGCCATGACAAAAAGGGACCAACATGGGGGCTTTGGGCACTGAGGTTCGCTTGTACAGGTAGCCTTCGCCCGCGCCTGGAAACAAATATCGGCACCTCGGTGTTAGGCGTGGAACTTGGTAATACCTGAAGTCTCGTTTACTTTGGGTAATGACCCCATGTTTTAAGGGTCATGGAGACGCCAGCTAGTTGTCCTAAAGAAATATGGCTGAAGCACAAACCTCTCAAACTACTAGCCAAGGAACAATTTGGTAAGTTTGGGGTATGGAAGCACCCACACACGCGCACGCTGTGTTCCCTGCATTTGGCGCCTAGCCACTCGCGATGGTTTTCGATAATTCCTGTCAGTCAGCCCGTTGCACTCACAAATGTATGTGTGAATATATATGTAATATAGATACATGTATAAATATGTAATGTGCACGCAGAAAAACCTTTATTGGAGCCCTGCCATACATTGTTAAGCAGGGTGGGGATTTCGCACAGCTGTTCCAATGGAGTATCTGAGTCACGAGCTCAGGTCACCCAACTCCCCGGCACAAGACCAGAATATGGATATGTCTGGGAAGAAACTTAAGGGAAACATTCAGTGTGACCTAGGATCCATCCCATAGGACCCTTCACACCCTTCGCTTCAGACCTCGCGCTCCATACGTTTTCGGTGAATTAGGGGTTCTCCTCAAGCGAGCCACAATCAGGGTAAGTTAGTAAGGGAATTTCCCAGCCAGAATTGGGTACACAATTTGAATATCAGGTTTTGATTGTGACTCGGAAGGCCGATGTCCCGTTGACCCAAAGGCCGCTTAAGCCTCAAAGCCTCACTTTCTGAGTGGATGGGCCAACAAAAAGCAACCAAACTTTTTGTTTGCCACCAAAATGGTTGTCCCAGAAAGTCTAAAGTAAAGTCCGAAACGGAACTCGGGAACGGTTCAAGGCGCGGAGATCTCAGCGAGCAAGTTGCCATCGCCGCTCAAGGCTTCCAGTAGCACCGCTTTGTCCTCCCCTGCGTTAGGCTTTTTGGCAGTCTTTTCAATGCAAAGTGAGGGAACAAATTACAGAAAAAAAAGGTCACAAACCTGTCAGCTGGTCTCAACCAAGACCTCTAGTATTGAAGCCTGCAAACTGACGGACCAGAATGGACTAAAACCACCATTTTCATGTGAATCAGCCAGGGCTCATGACAGTGACGCCTTATCCACTAGGCGACTGGTCCTGCTGCCATTTCAGGCAAGACGAACAAATAGTTGAGCGTGTGAGAGTAGCCCCAAAAGGACGTGGGATTGCTGAGTGAGGCCCCCAGCTTCTAAACCTCGATATGGTTTTGTTTGTTTTTCGCAAGTACCCCTTATTATCGAAGCAAACCCACAAGGGACAGTAAAGGCCCATAGCAAGAGTTCCGCTTGAGGAAACTTCATATGGCCGAGCTCCTCATGTCCCCCAATCAGCTGGCTGTGTATCGGGCTGGCCTACAAGGTTGTCTATAAATATGTATTTTTAGTTTCTACATGTATAAATATATACATATGTATATATATATGTATGTATATATATATATATATGTGTGTGTGTGTGTGTGTCCCCTTGCAAACATCACCCAACGGGAACTCCCACAAACGTTGGCCCACAATGCCAAAACGTGGTGTAAACCACCCGCAAGCAGGGCTGACATGTAAAGACCTGTGACATTCGAGGCTGGGCCCACTTTTTGGGAGAAGTTTCGCATGCCAAGAGGAACCTGCCTGTCTAGGTAGGCCATTACATTCCTGGTTGGAGGTGGCGACTGGGTGTGCTTTCTTCTCAACTCCAAGGTTCAATCTTCCTGCTTGTCAAAGGGTCGCATTCTGGATCCAATGTGCAAAGCTACCCGCATCTCACTTGCACGCCGCTCTTTCCCGTGAAAAGACTCAGAAGAAAGCCGAAGGAAACGCAGCCCTGGAATGCATCTAAGAACCTTCTCAGGGTTAGAAGGGTTCCTTTGCTGCAAGTTGAAGGTTTCCGAACTGAACACTTCTGACAGGCAGGAACAGCAGGAGGAACTGGAACCCTGGGCAGCTGCAGGGGGGCATGAAGCCTCTGTTGTTCCAAGGAGCTTGCTGGAGCTTCCACGTAGATCCAGGCATCCACATTCCTGTAGTCTTGCTTCAACCAAGCGGGCAGGGTCGCGGTCCCGCCCTGCAATAAAGCCCTTACATCTCCACATCTGAACCTGTACGTATATGTGTACGGTTGTATGGCTTCGGATTTGAAAGAGATTCGATAAAATCTGTAACGCAAAGAACTAAGTGCACCTGTGTGATCTGTGCACCCCCAAAACGCGTTGCCGCTACTTTAAATGTTCCTTTTCGTTGTCTGGCCGGATATGGCCTTTGGTGGGCCCTTGTCTCCTTACTGATTAGATATGTTGGGAACTACGGGATGTCTGCATTTATATCACCATTAAAACTCTTATATGTGTATTTGCTGGAGGGGAACAGTTTCCCTAGCTGCGTTGGGCAGTGTAGCGCGACCCATTGTGCAACGTATCATGTAAACGTTGTTTTTTTGCGCTTGTGCGCCGCTTGTTCGTTTCAGTCCCAAACCCCTCCCCCCGTGGCCGTCCGCTTGGCGCCGGGTCTCTGCGCCAAGGCCTCCAGCGCCAGCTCGCGGTCCCCACGCAGCTCCGCGGAGGCGAAGTGCAGCGCCTCCCCCGCCCGGCGCACCGCCGCCAGCGCCTCGGGGCTCCGCTCACTCCGCTCCCAACAGGAAAGCACAGACCTGTAAACCCAATTGTCGGTGCAACCCCCCCCCTTCCAGGGTTTACATTTCCAGGCTTCAAAGGTGACCAACACGCCTTGCCGTGAAAGGCGCTTGAAAAGCTTCAAAACAGAGCACCACCCAGCAAAACCGATGCAGTGGTGGTCAGATTTCACACCTGAGCCACCCAAACGCCTTGTAGCCGCGGAGGTCTTTTCATAAGGGCTTTTCAGGCTTCAAACCAGAGCACCACCCAGCAAAACCGATGTTGTGGTGGTCAGATTTCACACCTGAGCCACCCAAACGCCTTGCAGCCGTGCAAACCAGAGCACCCAGCAAAACACAGCCAGGGGTGGCCAGATTTCATTCCCGAGCCGCCAGAAATGAGAAAACCACGCGCTAGAAAACGACCAAAACGCATTGCAAAGGGACAACAAGGGACAACAGGACAACAGGGGGACAACCTCCCGCGCAAACCTGTACACGCGCGCGCATTCGCGTCGGATTTCTAAATACTAGCAAAACGCTTTGCTACAGCTCAGTGGTGCTTTCTTGTTTGTTGGGTTTGTTTGGTTTGGCTGGGTTTGTTTCTGCGTTTTGGTGCGTTGTTTGTTTGATCTGCGCTCGCTTTGGCTCTGCTGCTCTTCGTTTGAGGGTGCTGATGGATTGAAATCCTGTTGGCTCTGCTGCGCTTCGTTTGTGGGTTTAGGGTTTAGGGCTTAGGGTTTGTGAAGCCCACCCGGCGCTTGAGGGTGCTGATGCATTGAAATCCTTTTGGCTCTGCTGCGCTTCGTTTGTGGGTTTAGGGTTTCGGGTTTATGGTGTAGGGTTTGGGGTAGGGTTTAGTCTGCGCTCGCATTGGCTGCGCTGCGCTTAGGGTTTAGGGTTTAGGGTTTCAGGCGTGATGTAGTGCCACGGCCGCGCCTCCCCCCATGGAGTGGAAGCGGAGGCGCGCCGTTTTGTATTGGAGAGCCCACCCCAGCCACACAAACGTGCACCTTTTAACAGGTTTAGGTTTTTTCGAAGGAGACGGAAGCGAGCGCCGCGAAAAGAAAACGGGGTCCGCGAGCTTGTCGCCCGGCGACGCAAGTTGAAATCGTTTTTTGGAGAACAGATTGGCGGACGAATGTTTGTTTCAGATTACAAGCGCGCGCGCGAATGGGTTTTCAAAATGATTTCTGGGGGTGAGCTCCCTCCAAGCCGTCGTCTAGCGGTCCAATCGAAGAACCCTCATAGTCATGGCGACACGCCGCGGCCCAGGCACCGGTCCATGTGGGATACCGCCGCCTGCCGTAGATGGCGGCCCCGCGACGTGGACACTCCTTGGGGCGCACCCGCACGCCGCCTTTGGCGCGCATCAGCACCGATGCCACAGGTGTGGTCAGCGCGTTGATCTCCTCCGCCGTCCGCGCCAAGTCTTCAATGAGAAGACGTGCGGCGCGCAGGCATCTTAGGAGCTCCTGGGATGGGAGGCGGCCGCCTTGGCGAGGGTCTGCATCCAGTCGCCTTTCCTGTCTGCGCTGCGGCAACCCCGGTGCCATTGCCACGCCAGGCAGAAGATCGAAGATCTCTGCCCAGAGCGCGTCGCCCGGATCTCGAGTTGACTGCTCACTGCCGTCGGCGAGCCGGTAGTGTTCGAGAGCGGCATACGGCGCGGGGGCGCCAATGTCTTCTGGACTTGGACGAATTCCCTCGCAGTAGGAGGGGCTCGTGCGCGTTGTGGCAGAGCACTCTCTCAGCAATATCGCATAGAGCCCCGCGATGTCAAGGGTCTCAAAGATCTTCTCCACTTCGCGCAGCTCCACCGGCAGCATCCACAGGCTGCTGCCGTGCCCAGGCTTCCATTACGCCTAAAATATCGGAGTCCAGTGTGATGGGCAGCAGCCATGGCTTGCTGCAAAAACGAGCAAAGACGCAAGAGTTTGCTCGCAACAAAGTACGAAGACTTCTGAGCCAACGTGCAAAAACAAGGCAAGGTGACAAGGCAAGATGACAATTCAAGGCGGTAATGCAAAGCGGTAAGTGTGCAAACCTAATCTTGTCTACGGCTCTCTTGTTTTACAAAACTTATGCCGCGGCAAGCGTTCGGAACTAGTCTTGGGGGCTTGTTGTTCTGATTTGAGCTTTTGAAACACGTCGGCGCGAGTGACGCGTTCTCAGCCGGCAAAGGATTCAAACGCCTGTGCCCAAAGCTCCCGCCAGTTCTATTGTTCAACTCGCCGTGACTTGCGGGGTCTACCGCTTGCCCGCTGGTGTCTGATTCCTTGGCTTTTCCTTTCTTGTCTTTGCTCGACCATGTCTATCTTGGCGGTTCGAAATAGTCGACAGTGTCTGTGGATAAGTCTTATCGACTAGTTCGAGCATGGGAAAAATGTGAGACAACATGTGAAACTGATAGCCTTCCCAAGGGCTCCTGCTCCGCCCCGCTTGCCGAAGAGCCCCTCCCTGGCCGCGGGCAGCCCGCCGCGTCGTAGGTCCTGGAGCAAATCAACTTCGAGGAGAGCCGGCCGAACCGAGCCCCGTAACGGAAACCTATGGAAGCTCTTGCCAAACCTCTGAGAACCAGAAAGGTCATCCCATTATTTCCCTGCCCAAAGCGCCAATCCCGCCGGAAGATGCGAAGTAGAAAGTCTTTAGCGCTAGCCCATGGAGCGCCACCCGCGCCCCGCGAAGGATTTCTCTACGCCAGGCCTCGGGAAACCTCGCAACCGAAGCGGCGAGGCCGCCCGAGGGCGGGCGGCCCCCAGCGGGGACCAGCGCGGCGTTGCCACCAATCAAGCGTTTCCGCGGCCGCTCGGGGGCCAAGCCGCCGGGAACAGGCGCCGTCGACGGCCGGCCGAAGCGGGGCCCCCGGCGGACAATTTTGCTCCCAAGCGGCTGCCCATCACAGAGCAAGCCCCTTTAAGCCCCCCTCGCCCCAGCGGACAATTTCGCAAGCGCGCCGCGCAACTGCCCATCATAGAGCATAAGCCCCTTTAAGCCCCCCGCACCCCGGCGGACAAATTTGCTCCCAAATCGGCGCTCAGACCGAGCAAGGCCCATCATAGAGCAAGCCCCTTTAACCCCCCCTCACCCCAGCGGACAATTTCGCAAGCACGCCCATCATAGAGTAAGCCCCTTTAAGCCCCCCGCGTGCCGGCAGACAAATTTGCTCCCAAGTCGGCGCTCAGACCGAGAAAACACGCCGCGCGGCGGCCCATCATAGAGCAAGCCCCTTTAACCCCCCTCACCCCAGCGAACAATTTCGCAAGCACGCCGCGCGGCTGCACATCATAGAGTGAGCCCCTTTAAGCCCCCCGCATATCGGCGGACAAATTTGCTCCCAAATCGGCGCTCAGACCAAGGAAGCAGGAAGTCGGGCAGGTTTGGCTAAGGCCAATGGCAATTTTATCAAGGCGCTGCCATTTCATCAAGGCCGATCGCCGTTTTATCAAAGCCAATTGCCATTTGGCCAAAAACAAAACCTGTCCCTGTACCTCAAAAATGCGTCGGTGGGAACATCTGGAGGGCCATACAGGCTCGCAAAATCTGGTTAACAGCTTGCTAGGTAACATGTTGTACTCCACTGCCTGGGTGATATAGGTTTGTTTCAAGATATGGGACCACCCTCCACCCCTCACCCCGGACACCCACAGACCCTGCTGCGTAGGAAGCCGTGTGTTGTGAAGCCACCCATTTCAAGGAAGCCGCTTCAAGGAAGCCGCTTCCACCTTTTATGAAAGCCGTGTCCATGTTTCAAGAGAGAGTGGACCGACCTTTCAAGGCAACCCACTTCCGCTTGCAGAGAGCCCACTCTCGCAGGGAATCTGCCGATCTTTGTGGTTCACAGGCCCCCCACTACATTCTCAGACAGCCCCCAAGGGCCACAAATGATGGCCGAGGAAGCTTTACCCTATCTACGGCGCGGATAGCCACATCTTCTTCATTTCCCATCTGCGCAAATATATCATTCGAATACGAATTTGGTGCCGATGTTAACACCATATTATAGGTGTGGCTATCTAGACATACACCGCTATAGGTTTCATTTCTCTGTCACTACTGGACGTGTGCTTCATTTTTCAAGGGGGTTTAAACAACATCACCCATGTTGGGTCCAGGTTCCCTATTTTGAGACACCCCACACAGAGAATTCGGTTCACACAACCATCCCAATGCAAATACACATTCATAGAAAATCATCTATACTAGAATCGATACGCCCGCCTGGACAGTATTCATGGTTTGGTTTCTTTTTGCGTGCACTCATATTGAACATACGATATATATATATATATATCTATCTATCTGTGTGTGGTGTTTGTGACCCCCTTCTCCCCCCCCCCCCCCAACTGTGTGGGTGATGGGTTCCACCCCCCCCCCCCGTTCCACCGGGGGCCCCCACGACTTCCTTGTCTTGCTGCAGGTGCTTCGGCGCGAACTTCAGCAAGGTGCCGTCAAGAGGCAGCAGCTCCAGCAGGAAGCCTGGCTTCAAGCCCCAGCCCCAAGTTTGCTTGGCAAGTAGTCTGAGGAAAGCCACAATTGACTTGAACCTTTTTTTCTTGTTTTTTTTTTTGGGGGGGGGGGTTGGGGGGCATCTCGGGGGGGGACTTGGGGCATAGATGATGACTTCAGCAGGCCCCCCGCCCGAGACGTTGGCAACATTTCAGTCGACAGGGGCAGAGACATGGTCAAGGTGTTGTTCAGAGGCATAGACAGTTTCAGTTGAGAGTGACATTTGGTTTTCAGTTGGCGAAACATAGACGCAAACATCTAAAAGGTCAGATCCGGAGTCGCTTCGCTTTGGGCAAAGAACATGGTGTATACAGGGATCGCGATACCTTGACTTGCCACCATAACCAGACTCTCCTATTGGTGTGGTTGTAAAAAACAAGAAGGCCGGCTTCTGGCACTTTTTTGAACAGGAAATGCTAACTTTTCGCAAAAGACCGATGCCAGAATTCATGTCACAATGTGGTGGTTCTATTTGGGATGCCATGACTCCAACTAATTCACACGGGAAAGGCCTTTTGAGGCCTGAATCAATTTCAAGGTTGCCCCTCTGCCCTTCTGTGCGCTATAGGGCATCTATCCTACCTTGAGGAGGGTGGTTTAGGTGCCCCAATTCCGACTTGGTCAGATTAGATTCTTTCTGGGGCACCCTGCACATTGCGGTTGGCTACAAGTAACCACTTTTGGGGCTCCCCTAAAAAAAGACACCCCCAACTAAATATGAACCCGCATTTCTAAACATGTTATGTAATTTCCATCTACCCCAGGCCAAGTTACTGGTACCCAAAGGACCTAAAAAAGACAGACCTTGGGGCGTAACTTTCCCTCTCCTTTTTCATGGAAAAGACCCCACAGGAGGGCCCCTGCATTTTCCGAAACAGGGGGTCTCAGCAGCAAACGTGGGGTGGTCTTGTAAGGCCATGACACCAACCGAACCAATAACGCGGAAACAACATCAAACAAGCAACAAACTAAAAAACATACCACAAGCAATGAAGTAGTTCCTGTCAGCGAGATGAGAGAAAACAAGCAACCGCGTCTCCTTAAATCAAATATGCCCCTTTTTGTTGCATCAACCCAAAGGATAATCATGGAAAGGCCCCGGTTCGGTGAGACCCAGAAAAGCTAAACGGACCAATCCATGACTGGCTAACCTCCTGTGTCCGGCGGATCCCCTTATGCTTCGCGTCGCTGCTTGGAACGGAAGAAACAATTCCTTCTCACCGCTCATTTGGTGGAATTTCTAGGTCTCTGAAGCTCCATAAGGAGCCCGAACAAACCCTAGGGCTCTCAACTACCTACCCCCGCGTTAGGGACTCCAGCTGGGCCCACTCTTACGGTGGTTCCCATTCTCTTTGCCCAGCGCTTAGGCTCGACAGGCAATGGTTTAAAGAGGTCCAGTGGATCCCAATCAGGAATATGATAAGCAATCGGCCACTGTTAGCTTTGAAGAGTTGTTCCATGGTCCATTGGTTGTGTTGTTATATATATACACACATACATTGCAATGGTAAATGGGATCACTGGCACCCAAACGGAAAATTTACGAAACCCTTTTTGAAGGTCCTCCCAAAACTTCTGTTTGCACTGGAACTCGCCATCCACCCTTTGTCTCCGTCTCTCTCCCTCTCAGACTCTCTCTCCCGCTCTCGCACATCCCCAAAACCTAAGCAAGATAATTACTCGAGCTATGCATGCCCTCTTTCCAACCATCATGAAAGTAGACACTTTGACAAAGGGCCTGTTCAAGAGGACTGCAGTCTTCCAAACCCAACAGGTGAGCTTCCAATGCCGTAGACAAGGCCGAGCGGCCCAGCAAGCACAAGCAAAGCCAGGACGTGAGCAATGGTCATGTTGCAGGAACTATACCCGATGTCGATGTCGATCCAAGACCCAAACCTAAAGAGAGTAGAGAGTATTTATTGACCGAGGCACACGTCGACCTGCATGTCTATTGCAGAAAGAAACAGGGCGCATCTCTATCCGGCCCCTGGCCTCTGTCATCTTTCAGCTGATCAGAGGCGTGCTGCAGAGAGCTTGGCTTGGATCGGACTGCCTCTCCGGGAGAATTCGAGAATTCGACTAGTGAGGCCGCACAGCTCATCCAGCTGTTGTAGGCTACGATTAAGCACACGCATAACTCACAAATTCCTTCAAAGCAGGTCGCAACTCCACTTGGCAAGGTTCAAACCCATAGTAGTGTGACGGCAATTCATTTTCCTTGTGGTTGGGCATGCACATCCGACAGGACGCTTGCACGCAATCGAACAAAGCTGTCACGATAGTGACCAATATCAACAGGTCTCACGAACAGCGGCCATTCGCCAAAAACAGCCTGGCGACAACTCTATCGGAAGCCATGTCTTGGAATTGTTTTGATAGGAAGCCATTGACCTTTTTCGGCCACACAAAACATTACGCGACTATGATTGGCTCATGTGAGCGTCCCTCTAAGCCCCATGCCCCTGGTTTAACATCCAATTTCCAAAACTTCGCGGCCAACGCAGGGCGCACACAAATTTCAGCTGCCCTTGGCGAAGTGAACCTACATTTCACATGAGGATCCTACCAAACCGTTGACAGAAACGCGGTTGCGCCCAAGAAGCCGACGTAACCGGCCGAGCCTGCAGCACCAAGGGCCTCTGGCTCCTCAGCTCATCGCTGGCGTACCTGAGGCAAATCCCAGGGTGAGGGGTGCCGAAAGCCCCAAGTTCGGGCTCGTCTTCAACACAAAGAGCCCAAGAACGGCCTCCCTTTAGCTTCCCTTGACCGACCCAAGAAGGGCAGCCAAGCCAAGACCCAGCCCTTTTTTGCTAGACCCCCAGTGGCCATTTGGAAAAAGTTGCCCTGGACTGGGCCAAACGAACGACTTGCATGCCGAGGCGCTGCAAGGCATCGCCATCTTGCTCCAGAGCCTGCGAACAAATCCGAGAAAGACCCAGATTTGGTCGAAGCGCTGGTTGATTTGGAGCAAAGGAGTTTCCCCACGTAGCGGATCTTTCGCTTCTTGGGGTGGCCCCTCAAAACAAATCCATCAGCATTGTTTGCTGTCGACATGGCACAAAAGGGCCGGATGACTATCCCAGCAAGTCTTCTCAACCCCTGGTACCCCAGCTAAAACAGAGCGTCTTTTTGCAGTCGCCCCATGAAACAGGCATGGAGTCAAATGCAAACAATAATAGACACCCTGCCAAGAACCTGAAGTGTTCGATGTCCCCGATACAAGCCTTGCAGTCATGAGTCATGAGTCCTTGACAAAAGATGATTGGCACACACCCGGTATTTAAGGAAAGGACAGAACATAGACATAGATGTAACCAAAACCGAAACAAACGGGTTGCAGCTTGTCTCCCTCCAGCTGCTTGCTCCTGGCGCAAAAAGTTCAAGCTGGGTAAGGGCGCAATCAGGGCTTAACCGCGCAAAGGGTTCTTGCGAACCTCGTCGTGCCTTTCTCAGAAAACACACTGGACAGTGATCACTGGATTTCCCCTTAAAACAAATGCGATTCAACTGGTGGTTTCCACCAATACTGCCACTTTTGGAGGTTCCAAGAAGGGAAGTGGAAGAAACCCTGGTGGAACAACTCGGTTGCTTTCCGCTCCCCTGCTAAAAGCTTAACTTTTAATGGTTTAATGGAAACCCATGCGAAAATTTAAAGTCCTGACATCCTTTGGCAAAATGCACCTCTGACAAAGTCATTTTGGGGCTCTCCCTTGGGCCCGGGAGTCGGGGTAAACGCGCTCGAGGAGCCTGGGCCACCACCGAGTGGTCCCGGCGAAGCGCTTCGGAGGCGAATTGGAGCGCCAGGCCGCTGGCGCGCACAGAGTCCAGCACCACCTCCCGGTCCGCCTCGCATCGGAGCCGATTTTTTCTTGGGCCACCCCCAACAAAAATAAAAAGGGTGGTGCCCCTCCGGTCGTTTCTTTTTCATTGCTTGGATATTAGGAAGAAAGCTACTCATCAATCATCTCTTCATGGTTTCCTTGGGGAATTGACAATTCGTGGGTGGATCACGCCATCTCTTGAGAGGCCAAGTGGATCCGAGGTACCCAGTAGGTAAGCAGCTATTTTGCGCATAGTTTTTGCACTGTTGATTCTCACACAAGTTTAAAGTCCAGAAACTGGGGAAGAGAGCCCTGCTCTCCGAAAGCCGGTATCAAGGAGCCTATTCAAGTCGTGGGTGGGTCTACACCAGTGGAAAGCCCAATGCTTCCACCACTTCTCAGGCCTCCGCTCCAATTTGCGCCATGAGTGTTTGCAGGGGATTCCCTTGTCCACCGGCAAGCTGCACCAAACAATCAGGGGATCCCTGCAAGAGCCTTCATGAGGGCCGACCAAAGAAAACAAAAACTGGGTGGAGTGCGCTGCGCAATTTCTGAGTTCCTTTTTCAAAGCCCAACAGGGGACAACACATCAGCACCTGAAGCAAATGGGGGGGGAGAAAAAACACGCGGCCACCTCCCCATACGTCAAAACGGCCAAGCGGTTGAGGCCCCGAGCACGCCAAACGTCGTCAAGGTCCTCCTGAGCAGCGACCACCGGTGCCAAACTCCAAAATCCAAATAGCACGGTGAAGCTGAAGGAAAGGCGTGATCTGATCCAACAAAAGACAACAACCCTTGATTGCTGTTGACTTTTTGGGGTTTAGTGGAAAACACCTTCCTAGAAAGTTAAAGTCTAAACCCAATAGCAGTCAACTGTAATCCTAACAGGTCCATAACTGCGTTGCCTCACTTGAAAGCAACACATCATGATCACGGATGGTGTTCGCTGGCGTTGGCAGAGCTTCAGGCTTAAGAAACAAAGAAACATGCCGACACAGCCTAAGCAAAAACCTGCTTGTCCCGTGCATGGAAAGGAGACAAACAATGGAATTGGGGGATTCCCATCGGCCAGCAGGGGATACCCCTGAAATGTAGGTGGGGGCTGGTCAAGGGAGGGAGGGAATCGTAGAAAATTTGGACGAGCATAAGGCTTCTTACCCAGGGAGCCACCAATGTAGCCACATGCAGACATACTGCTGTTGGGGGCCAGGAGCCATAAAGGAGCGATTCCAGGGGGCAGGGACAATGTTCCAACCGCACAGCAGTGACGATTTCCGGCTTCTCGTGCCCGAGGTAGCAATCGCGAGATGCACACGAAAGTGTATGCATGTATTGCAATTAATGGTATTCGTGCCATTTACTCATTGCTTTTATGACGCATGGTCGCCTCTGTCTGTGTGTGAGTGCGCCCTTTGCAAAGGGTGCCCTTTTATCTGTAGAACAAAAGAAAGCAATCATAGGGGGGGAAAAGGGCACCCTTGTCACGCACCGATATTTGCGAACGGTTAGCCCCTTTAGACATTGTTCCCAAACGTTGGAGAATGTAAATACTTCACAACCCTTGGTGTGGGTTCAAAAGTTCTTTGCAGCCCCCCAATGAAAATGAACATCAAAAAAACACAAACTGCCAAGAACAGTGAAGAACAGGTTGAGCTTCTTTGCGGTTCCCGTTGCAAACAACCGAAAGAGCGTCCTTCAATGCTTTCAACACCCCAACGTCGCCCATCACAAGTTTTTTCATTTGCCAAGCGGCAAGGCATTCCGGGTCCTTCTGCACAGCAGCCAGCACAATCTCCTCGCGACAATTCGAAGCCGAGAGCGGCTTCGCTTCGCTCGATGGCATCCGGGGTAGAAAGTTGGCCCCTGGAAAAACAAGACGGCCTGTTCAACCAAATCCATTCCGGGCCTCACGGAAGCAAGGCCGCCGAATCATTCATCTACTTGGGTAACATGCTGAGACGCGGGTCCATGCAGCGCAGCAAAAGAGATCACAGTCACACGCACCCAAAAACACAGAGCTGGAAGCGACGCTGACACGAGTTCGGGTAGCCCTTCCTTGGTGGTTTGGTTTCTTGGGGGGTTGAAGCCTGGTTCTTGTAGACACCTTCAAGCATTTCAAGCCTTCACTTAGCGGGAAGCTGATGACGCTTCCTGAGTGCTTTGCAGCGCCTGACCTGGGTCTCGAAACTAAGCCTCCCAAATGTGTGTGTGTGTGTTTAAAATCGGTGTCCCCCTTACCCAGTTGCAGCCGGCCACCCCATGGTCCACAAAGGGGGCCTGTTTGATGTCGAGCAGATTTAGCCGGGGGCGCTACCAGAGCCTAAATAATTATTTTTCCTCAATTTACGGGATATGCAAATACCGAATTGAGCCATGGCCATAGGACAGAATAAGGTTAGTACTTATGCAGCCCCTTGTTGCAGGCGGCTACGGTCACCGGGTTTACATTCCAAGAGTTGCAATTTACTTACTGGTGGTTTCGATTGAAACGATCGCCACGTTTGGTGGTTCCAAAAATGGAAGGTGAGGAAACCCTGTATATTACCCCAACCAGTTCTTGCATCTTCCAACTGAACATCAATCCTGAACTACCATCTCCAAGAATCTCCAAGTAGGGCTCCAAAAGAGAATTTGCGCGGTTTGCTTTGGTTTCCCGCCAGCAAAGGGAGCCTCAGAAAATCGGTGGTATCCTTTTTGACACCACTCCAAAGAGACAGCGCGGCAGCGAGGATCCGTGCTCATCAACAAGAAACAGGGTTGTGGGATCACTCGGGGTTTCTCCAACCACTTCTGTGATACTTTTGGGAATCCCCCTTATGAACAAAATAGTCTTTGGGGTTAGGCCCTTTCCGTTGTATCACAGAGGTGGGTTCCATTTCAACCACAGCCCTGACAAGAAACCAACGGCCTTCACCCCCAAGGGATCCCAGCTCCGAGCCCGGCTCCTTTCCAACCATTGTGCCCATAATTTTTGGGCTGGTTTCCTTTGTCCCCGTAAATCTGGGAAACTGTTTGGATGCGCCTTTTGTGGATTTCACCTGTTCTTCCCCCTGTTGGTCCTTTTTTAGTACTCTTTTAGTACTCTTCTAACCTTCTACATGGGTGGAACCACAACAACCACATCCAAACCGTTTTTCCCCACTACAGCCTCTCCAAATTTTGCTGAGCAAAGGCTTTGGTTTTCTCCGGGACCTCTTCGGGACCTCTCCGGGACCCGCCTTGTCCAAGGCCACCCCTCGCTTGCCAGCAGCGGCAAGGGCCCGGGAGGGGCAGCAAGCGCCGCGCCTGAGAGATTTTGGGCACCGCGCGGGCACTGAAAGTGGGTGTCTCAGAAATACGCGCATGTATCTACAATCAAATGCACACACACATGTATATATAAAAAATGTGTATATATATATATACCTGTATGTAAGCACATACAAAAGATATATGTACATGTATAATTACTAATAACTCTGTGCAAATGGGTATCCCCTGCACATTGCCATAGAACCCAAGAAAATATAACTTTGGTTGCAGAGGAATCTCTTTGTAGGGGGCCTCTGTGCTGGGCTCCATGTTAAGTGTTCATCAAGGGTCCTACCTACTCCATGGGCAGGTGCCTCGCGATCTTCGGTGCCAATACAAGCACTAGCTGCCGAATGCCAACAATGCAAGTAAGCAGGCTAGAAACAAATCGCACGTCTCAAGGTGTCCGACTTGTTAACTACGTCCTGTGGGCAGTCCTGTTGGAAAATCAGCAGCATTACGTACAGTAATTAGTCCATTCATATAGTATACCTATATACTAAACCAAGCATACCTGAGCAGAGTTGAGTAGTTAGGAAACTTTTTGGGGTGCGGGCGCATGCAACCTAAATTTCAACGAGGCCCACATTCTATTTGTGAAGACGGTAGCACATGTCCAGGATGCCACCGCTTACACAGTTGCATTATTTCTTGGACTGCGGGTGCAAGGCGTCTCAACTTCCAAAGGTCCGCAGGAACTTCGGATCGCCGAGCACGCGACTCAGCAACATGCCCATAAACGCATGCCTTGGCTCCAAGCAACCTACCCCCCGAAACGCTTCGAGCGCGAAGGCTTTGTTTCCCCACCCGCGTGCAGATCGAAGCAGATCGAAGCGACCGGCAAGAAGCGAAGCGCAGCTCAGCGGCAACTGCTCCAAGAGCTCCTGCTGCGCAGGGCTCCGCACCAAGAGCGCCAGCTCGCAGCTCGCCCCAAGCAGCCCTAAACCTCGACTCCAGCCACTCGAGCGAGCGTCCGATTCGAGTCCGGATCCCATGCGGATTGCATGGGTTTGCCTTTTTTTGGGTGGCCGGTTCAATCCAGACAAACAAGAAGGGAAACCAAGTCCCACTGATGAACCCAAGCACAGCCAACGGATTGCTGCTTTTTGGAAGTCAAGCGCAAAGCGAGGTCCAAAGGGAAAAGGAGTGCCGCTGAACAACTGGAGCTTGGGGTTGAACGTGATCGCACACATCCGTGTCAAGCAAGGTGTCACCAAACAAGTATAGGCAAGTCTGCGGCACAGCCTCGAAGCTATGCCGACTGTCAATTTTTCGGAACCCTGGCAGAGACTCTGTTGAAAACAAGGAAGCTACAACATCAAGCCGCTTCTAGCCTGCTTGAAATCCCAGGAACCAACTCGCAATCTGCTGCACATTGTGGGCCAAGACCTCATGCACGAGCATCGAAAACCCATGCAACCCAGAATCTGCAATCCGCGTAAACCGCATGATCCGCACGGCTAATCATTGGGGATTAGGATGAACAAGCTAGATATTATTGAAAGGCGCCTGCGTTTGACAAACCGCTACAAACGGCATCGTCATGTCTTCAATGTCTCAATGCACGGCGCGCTTTTGGCTTTTGGCTCTCGCCCAGGCAGCTAACTGGAGAATCCCGAGCAGCTGTAGACAACGCACCTACCTGGAGTCTCCATGACCCCTTGATTTTGGGTACCATTTTTTAAGGGTCATGGACACTCCAGGTAGCCATGTCTGTCAAGCGAGGGCAAGACCTTGAAGTGAAGGGCAAGTCTTCCAGCGTAAAGCTCGGCCACCCTTCGCGTCCGTCGTGCTGCGTTGCTCCGTTGGCAGACTCGAGTGGGCTCTTGCCTGCGCACGAAGGCCCAAAGAAAGCGGATGGGCGGCCAGTCTGGACCTTTTGCGCCTGCTTAGATGGGCCCGGAGTCAGCCAACATGTTGGATTATTGTAAAAAAAAAAACGGCCACAGAAGAAGCGGGGGTCAACAAGAGTCCCGTGCAATAACTTGGGCTATCATAGAAGTGCCCGCAGCTTCCAGTGATGCCAAGCGGTCCAAAAGCTGGAACTGGAAAAACCAAGGGGTAACTCCCAGACCATCCCCCTGGGTCCCGCAAAATGAATTGCGCAAAGTCATCCGTAAGGCCTCAGGCGCCAAAAGGTCGGAGGCTCGACAGCCAGAGTCGCATACTCGAACTCAGGGGATCACCTTGGGAAGTGGACGATAGTGGGCTCGCTGCGAGCAACCACTGCTTGGTTAAAAGGGAAAAGGAAGGCAACACAAGCATGCTTCACTCACTTCCTGAGTGGAAGGCCCAAGAAAAGTCCGAACGTTTTATGTACCACTAAAATGGTCTTCCCAAAAAGTTTAAAGGCCAGGAACTCAGGAAGCGAGAAAAAGGTAAGCTAAGTACGGCAAGGCAACCAGGTCCGCCACCAAGCTCAAATGATCTGAGGGATATGCTGCACATGGCAGCCTCTCCTTGGCTCATACCGACCGCCAGAAAAAGCAACGAGTAAAGAAGACCCAAGTATCCAAGACGGCACGATCAATCTGCAATTTGTGCTATAAATCCAAAAACCGGTTTAAGGGATCGCCGAGCAAAGGGCCTTTGTCATGGTGAGCTCGTTATACACCAGGGTGAGCTCGCTATAAAATAGGCGGATCAATCGTCCACCCATCAGACATATAGAAGATGGGTCCACTGGTTGGTCAATGACAAACCCTAGGTTTCGAATATGAGCTATAACCTTTCTGTGAAGGGCAACCTTGGTAAGATGAACGTTGAGAACAAATAAACACCGGTGCTCCAACCCCTGCGAAACGATCTACTCACCCTCACGCTCTGAGGTTCCATGGTTGGAAGGTAGACATGTTACAGGTTCCTTTTGCATAAAAAACAAAAAAACACGCCAAACATGAATTCGGAACTCGCTCCAAAATTAGTTAATACAAAAGGTCATAGCAGCTGTACTTTCCCCATTCGTTCCAGGGATCCGGTGACTTCTGACAAATTGCTATCTGTGGAACTTAAATAGTGTCTGCATGGTAAAAAGTGTGGAAGAGGAACCAACTTTTTGGATCTGGTCAAATTCAGCGAATAAGGACTCCCCACGCAGTGGCAAGCCTGACTGTGTTTCCCCAATCCCGCACTGGAAATCATGAACCCCCCTCCCCCGCTGCACATCAAGTATCATTCTTTTCTAGTTCCCGCCGCCAAGGTAAACCCCACAATAATTGTATCATAAGTGTTTATTTTAGAGGACCCCGCTTTCCATGCGGAAGAGGTTGAGCATCCCAGTCTCGGGGAAGTTGTGCTCCAAAGCCTCGCTGTCCGGCACGTCCAGCACTTGCGACACGTGGATCCCTGGCCGAAGGGGGCAACGAAAGGCCCAATGAGCCGCCCCCCGCTGCTTCCTGCGGAAGGGCTCCCTCCAACCTCTAGCCGAATAATTAGGCCCTTCAGAAGGCATTCCAAACTCGCTTGCTGGGGGGGGGGATTGAGGGTTCTGGGGGTTAAGAAGAACCAAATGCTCAAAACTTCCTTTCCTCTGCGCAGCTCATCCAATGCTCGAAGCTCACATTCCTCCATCCGCACAGCTCGGGGCCAGACCCCGGCCTTGGGACACGAAGATGTGGTCGCACGTGGCCTTGAAGTCCCCGGAGGCCCAGCCCGCCCAGGTCGTAAAGCCTGGGAAGCAAGTCGAAAATCCTCCTTTCGGGGCTCTGCAGCTCCATTTGCAGCTCCATTCGCAGCCACCGCGAAAAATAAAATAAAATAGAAAACATATGAAAAATACATAGAAATCAAAGCAAATCAGAAAATACATGACTTGAATCACAGAAAGATCAAGCAATGAAACAAATACAACCTGTCCAAGGCCCAGTTTTACAAGCTGTAGATTTATTGCTCTGTGCTAGGCCCCTCCACTTATGAACGTGCCCTCGAAATAACAGGTCAACCACGACTAATTCCAGACTAACAGGGGAACAACCAAAAGGTAAGGTCCAACCGACCGGTCACCCGGTCACCCAGTAACAGCCCAAAAACCGAAAAGAAAAAACACGGCCACACCCGGCGCTCGCGTCAGATGGCTGGGGATCTCATCGCTGATGCTGCGGTAGGCGCATCGGAAGCCGCAAGACCGAAAGTAGTCGTGCACGTTCCTCGGGGTGGCGCATCGGGGGGCTCGGCTCGTTCGCTCCGTCGATTTGGGCGCTCCAGGGGAAGCTTTTTGTGGGGTACCCGGTGCCACGGATCGGGGACAAAGCCGGTCCCCTTCCACTTCCATGTTTGTTGCTTTTTGATCTTGGTCGGAAACTTTGGGATATGCCCACTGAGTCTGGGTCGTCCCAATTTAAAGGGGGGATCCCCGATCCGCAATGGGACGCCACTACAACCAGAAACCACCGCCACTGAGTCACTGAGCAGGAAAAATGGGGACCTTTTCACTCAACAAAAGGAGGTTCCTGGTTTGGACCATGTTCTTCAGGCAACCTTCTCGTGGTTGCATTATGTGGTGGGGGGGCATCCAGAGCTGGAAAAACCCTGCAAAACTACCGGACAAAATCAAACAAATTCCCACCCTTCCCTCGTAAGCGTCTTAGACCTACAAAGGGCTGTACGCCCGGGAGCACCGCTCCTGAAAAAGGCTTGGAAGAGAGGGCCCACTCTCAACCGTCTCCTTTAAATTCAGCTAACGGAACAGAATATCGGACGCCCTTTGAATTTGCCTTGCCAAGGTTCCCCAAATTGGACTCTGTTGCTTTCTGCTCCCCTGCCAAAAGTTATATATTATATAGATATAATACTTTTAGTGGTTTAATGGGAAACCCATTAGTTGGCAAAAAGCTAACGTCCTAACATCCAAGCAACATGTACCAAACTGGAGAAATGCCGGATGCTAAACAGGTAAACCGAGGCCAAGATTCAAGTCCATGCCTTTCGCGGACTTGGCGTGGCTGTTCACGTCGGCCAGGATGATTTGCTCGTCCCCACGGGCAAAGTCAGCAAGAGCCGATACCACCTCAGATCCCCCGCTGAAAGTTTAACTCTTAGTTGGTTAAATGGAAACTACCACTAAACACTAAAAGGCTAAAAAGCTAAGGAACCGGATGACTGGGAGCCACCAAGTCTTGTTGGCTGGTGGGAAACAAGAAGGATTCCCGGAGAAAATACCCCAAACAAACCATCCCATGATAGAAGGTCCAGGATCTTACCTAAGGGCTTCTGGTCAGCTTCCAAGTTAGTGCGTGGCAGGTCTAGGCGCCCATGGGGGGATGGTTTCTAGGCCTGAAATGTGAGACTTCGTCCCATTCTAGGAAGGAACCCCGGCTTCTCTACAGCTCCTGCTTTAAGTCCAGGGTCCTCATACTCATTCCCTTTAAAGACCCACAACCAGGAAGGTCACCATTTTGGAACCTTCACGCGCGGCAAAGCGGAGAAGTAAGGTTGTCTCAACATGGGGCGACCCTGAAATTGGATGCCGGTTGTCCATCCTTTGAAACCCGCCACAAAACGATGCACCCAGTTCACCTTTCTCGAAGTCACCCCGTATGTCAATGACTTTGGGAGCCCCTGTGGATGGTTGCGAAATCCATTTTGCACCACTTGTAACCATTGTTGAAACCATTGTTGGTTGGCATTTGCTGGAGAATCATCAGAACCAGGGTTTCCTAGACGGTGCAAAATGGATTTCGCAACCAGCCGCAGTATAGGTGTCGCTCAGAACGCTGGAGCCCCCTTTGGTTTGGTATTCAAGGAACACTCCAAGGGCTGCCTTGGCTGTACAAAAATACACCAGCATAGACCCCAGATAGCACACCACGGATACGAACCATGACGCAGCATTATCATGATGATGTAGACCATGATGACACCACAGCCACGAAACAAACGCGCAAACAACGTCCTAAGGAGATCAGCAAGCAGCATAATGATGATTTTGAGAGCAATCCGGCAGGAAAAAGCAAACCGAGGTCCTGATGAGTTCGACAGCATCATGATGATGCGGACAGCATCATGATGATGCGGACAGCATCATGGTGATGCGAACAGCATCATGCTGATGGTAAAGGCAGCATCATGATGATACCACAGCCACGAACCATCTTGCGACAGCTTAATGAAATTCTGCATCATCCTGATGTTGACAGCATCACGGCGCCACTACACCCACACACCATAACGTGGGAACATCATGACGATACACCAGCCAAACTGCATGCCCCCTAGAACCGGCCGTCAAGCTCGCAAAACAGCATCCACCAGCACCTCAAACTGCATGCCCCCTAGCACCCGGCCAGCTCGCAAAACAGCATTCACCAGCAGCCCAAACTGCATGCCCCCCAGCACCCGGCCGTCAAGCTCGCAAAACAGCATCCACCAGCACCCCAAATTGCATGCCACTAGCACCCGGCCAGCTCGAAAAACAAAACTGCATCCACCAGCACCCCAAACTGCATGCCCCCAGCACCCAGCCGTCAAGCTCGCAAAACAGCATCCACCAGCACCCGAAACTGCATGCCCCCGAGCACCCGGCCGTCAAGCTCGCCGGCCAGCTCGCAAACCAGCAGCCCCCCACCCGGCCGTCAAGCTCGCAAAGCAGCATCTACCAGCACCCCAAACTGCATGCCCCGTAGCACCCGCAAAGCAGCACCCACCAGCACCCCCAACTGCATAGCACCCGGCCGTCAAGCTTGCAAAACAGCCCACCAGCACCCCAAACTGCATGCCCCCTAGCACCCGGCGTCAAGCTCGCAAAGCAGCACCTACCAGCACCCCAAACTGCATGCCCCCTAGCACCCGGCCGTCAAGCTCGCAAAGCAGCACCCACCAGCACCCCAAACTGCATGCCCCCTAGCACCCGGCCGTCAAGCTCGCAAAGCAGCACCCACCAGCACCCCAAACTGCATGCCCCCCAGCACCCGGCCGTCAAGCTCGCAAAGCAGCACCCACCAGCACCCCAAACCGCATGCCCCCTAGCACCCGGCCGTCAAGCTCGCAAAGCAGCACCCACCAGCACCCCAAACTGCATGCCCCCTAGCACCCGGCCGTCAAGCTCGCAAAGCAGCACTCAATGCAAGCTCAAGCTCGCAAAGCAGCATCCACCAGCACCTCAAACTGCATGCCCCCTAGCACCCGGCCCTCAATCTCGCAAAGCAGCATCCACCAGCACCTCAAACTGCATGCCCCCTAGCACCCGGCCGTCAAGCTCGCAAAGCAGCATCCACCAGCACCTCAAACTGCATGCCCCCTAGCACCCGGCCCTCAATCTCGCAAATCACTTTCCCCTCTTTATTAGAAGTTAGAACCCCTATAGCTTTCAGCTATCTGGGGAAAAAATGGTTTCCCACACCGGGCGGTAGGCTTTCGCCGGTCCCAAACAGGGCCGATTCGATCCTCATTCTCAGATATGGCCATGACTTCAAAAAAGGGAACCCCCTGCAAAGTGGTTGGACATACAAACAAAAACACCACCTCATGGCGTCCACCAGTTCGGGGTCCTAAGTAAAATTCATGCCCATTTACCCTCACCCCCACTAACATGGCACCTGACAGGTGTCTCTTCAAGAGGAAATTGAGATTCCAGGCACCCTCCCACAGGTGCTATGTTAGCGAGAGGACGGGCATATATGGGCATGGGTCAAAATCGTGTACCCCCAGTGAACATCCGATTCAAGTCCCACCAAAATAGGTTCTAAAATGGGTGGTGAATTCACCTGCCAACCGTTTTGACAACCACAGCCATATCTACCTTCTAGGTGACCCCTGAACCGACTGCCAGGGCCTCCGAGGCCTGCTGCATGCGGAAGCCCTCATCCGCGGAGGCCCGCAGGTGGGTGGCGCAGACCACCAGGCCCTTGCCTTGCTGCCGGTCCGTCGGCCACAGGCGCTGCAGCACCTGACCAGGTCTTGCGGTTGAGTGAAGGTATGGGTTAACAGGTTGGGTCTCAAGTTGGGCTAAGTTGGGTAACAGCTAGCTGTTGGTCAAAATGTCCATTGGTATTGTCGTCCTCTTTACTTACCTCAATAAGGAATTGGGCCATCTACTTTTACCACTGTGTGATTCAACATCTTGTCCTCCCATGTCTAGCTGCCAGAATTGTCTACTTCTGCCCGGAAAACTCTGATAGTGTTCTTTCTGAACATCCGAAGGAAGCAGCAAACCATGCCAACTGGTTGCTAACTAGGGCCTCTAATTATCTGAGTGTTCGCTCACAGCTGAGACACCGCGACCTGCGCCGCCTTGGTGCGATGCCTCCCATACCTAGAGCGGCACAGGCGCGGAAGACGGGCTGCACCAGCAGGTTGATGGCTCAACATGGGGTGGTTCAACTCAGTTGTTCAGTGACCCCGGAGAAAAAAAGGGAACCCTTTTTGGGGAAGACCATTTTTAGCGGGGCAGCCGCCAAAAAAAGGTTGGAAAAAGAATTGGTGCCACTGAACAACTGAGTCAAGGATTCCAGTCAAAGAAACCACCTCAGATGCTTGCCGGCTGAATTCGGATGTAAAAGCCGGTGGCTTTTAATGGATATTCCCCAACCCGAATCAGGGAACTGAGTGAAGACCTTGGTTCTCTTGGCTTTACTGAGGTCGCCACAATTTCCCCATGAGCCCTGAACATCAAAGCAAACAATAGGCCCCGCAAGACCCGTGGCCAAATTTTGTGAGCACTAATTCCTACTTCTGCAGTGGCTGGACCAGTCAGGTGGCGATGGCAACTCCGAGTTTAAGGCGAGGTCCTGAAATCTACGAATCTATCGAACACATCTGGAGGTGCAAGGGGCACATACTTGTTTCCAACAGAGTTGTATCTGTGGCAAAGTCATTGCTAACATGTAAACATGTTGACCAACGATCTTGACTGAATTTGGTCTCAGCATACCTCACCTCCCCCATTGTAATTATCGCCCTTATTGTGGCCAGGACTGATACCTGAGTGCCATTTAAGGCCCGAGTTGGACCCTAAATTAAAGCTAAACCTCTGCTTAAGTTCAAAAGGATCCAAACTTGGCCCCCCCTTTTAGACCTGCAAGGCCCTCTTTGTCTCTTTGTGAGATTCTTCTGTTTGGGGATGGAAACGGCAAACGCAAAGAACACTCACCACCACTTATGAACCTCCCCCCTCCTCCCCAAAAACATTAAAAATCAAAAAAAACTCTTGGCACCCCAAACTGGGCTCCAAACAAATTTAAGCTGAAACAGAACACAAAGAACACTAAAACCACCACTTCGGGGGCCGCCCCACAAAAAGAAAGAAAGAAAAGAAGAACAAAACGAAAAGCACCCCATGAAGCTTGGGCCCCCGGAAAATCTCAGTTGCCCAAAGGACCCAGAACTAAAAGGTTAACCTTTTGGCACCTCTACTAAAAATGGGAACCCCAAAATGGGAGAACCAAAAGGTCAGATCCGGTCGATTCGCTTTGGACAACTGAGAAATTCGAAGGTGCGAATCTCGCCGAGTTGCTCCAGAAAGACGCCGCGGCGCACCCCTTCCTCCAGCTTCCGGCTGCGCCAAAAGGCGCAGACCCCGTCTTTGGCTGGGCTCCCTGGCGTCGCTCATCGAAAGACGGGGCCGGCCCGCTTTGTCCGAGGCAATCATTTGGGGTGTGTCCGAAAAAATCGGGGTTCCCGCAATATGGCCTCATTCTTTTGGGCTTCCCACCCTCCCCACCCACCCACCCCCACCTCACCCACACCACCCACCCCACCCACCTCACCCACCCACCTCACCCACCCCCACACCACCCCACCCACCCCACCCCACCCCACCCCACCCCTGAAAACAACCAACAAAAACATGGTGTTCCACATCTGTTTGGCTCTGTTTGGTCGATTCGCTTGAATGGCTTTGGGGGCGCTGTTTGGGGCAGGTTCCAGGGCTGTCGGGAATACTTCTCGGTTTGAAACCGGCAGCTGCCGACCGGAGATTTCTATCCTCACTTGCCGAGTAGATTGCTCGAAAACAAGTCCAAACCTTTTGTTTACCACTAACATGATTTTCCCAAAAGTTTGAGTTTAAGGTCCAATAACTCAGGAAGTGAGTAAGTGACAAATTCTTGTTCTTGGCCAAGGATGCTGCCAAAGGCCCCCCAAGGATCCGACGTCGGAGGTTGAACCTATACTAGATTCAGAGCCATGGCTGGGCGAGCCGCAGAAAGGACATGGCCTGAACGGTCCTGTATGACGATTACAATGAAATAGCCACCATTCGGTTGCAATGGCTCTTGTGAGAGTGAACTCTGAAACAGTGTGTGCCTTTGTGGTCGGCAAACCCACCATGTTCAACCCAAAGTGGCAACATGCGCCTTGCGCGGCTGGTTTGTGCGTGGATTGGCCCAAGGCAAAGGGACGGTCATTGCCAAGCTGACCCTAGAGTGGCCCAACAGATCACACTCGGCGATGCTGAACCCCAAAACGGCGGACATTTAGGAACCAGCAGTCGATCAACCTGCGCGTGGAGAGGTGTGGATTTCTCTAGCTGACATCACGGGCGCCATCTCTTATCCCGTTATCCATCTATTTTCTATTAGCAAAATATATAACAATAGATTGGAGAAACAGCATAGGAAGAGATGTGTTCTTCCAAGGGGCGCTTGCGCTTGAAGGTGCCCTGGTAGCCCTTTGCCTTGAGCTCGGGCTCAAAGAAATCTTCGAAGTGGTCCACCTGCCGTTGCCAGAGGCCCGGGGGTTTCTGCCAGTTGCTTCAGCCTCCCGGGGTTGAACACGAAGCAAACCCAAAAGCACAACGGTAGTGATAGACTCCCTTGCGATCGAACCTCTGGGCCTGCTCCGGCCTGACCGCAATAACTGGAAGCGATGTATGGCTGTGGGTCAAAAGCCCGTACCCCCAGTGAACATCCCAATCCCCACTTAAACAGACTAACATGGGTGGTGAATTCACCTACCAACCAAAATGGGATCCCATTGGTTTTGACAACCACGGCCATTGTTTTGACCCGGGTCAACGCACTATTTAGGGGGGAGACTTGATTTCTCACTCGCGGAGAGACTCTCGGCACAGGACAATTATCGATGATTGGCATCATTCTCCCGGCAAATATCACCTCTCAGAAGTTCTTAGATCTTACAGTAGACACTTTCTGAAACCTTTCTGTCCTGAAGACCTGGGTAAATTATTGCCTGGGGCCCCAAAACACTGCTTTTTTTGGTCAAAAGGTTTTGCCCGAAAAAAAGTGGTCATACGCCAAGTGTGTTTTCCTTTTCTTGTTTTCTCAATATTTCATCGACAAAATACGGGTTTTATACGGCCAAATACGGGCAACTCTGGCAAATGACCGAAACAAAGAAGAAAACAAAAAGAAAAGAAGAAGAAAAAAAACGTTCGGGAAAAAAAACGTGCCAAATATGCCTTTTGACCGAAAGAAAGTGGCGTTTCGGGGCTCCAGGTGGTAAACGTACCTCAAACATAACACTCCCCGCCTCGCACAGGCCCATGACGTCGGGCTCATATCGCAGAAGCTCCTGCGGTGCATTGGGTAAAGCCTGGATTCGGGGGCCCGTGCCACACTTGCCCAATGGACATCATAAAAACAAGGAGCCTATTTGTTGGCAGTTGGCTTCCAAGGGGAATCTCCAAAAGAAGGGGGGACAGGGCACCACTGGAACCCTTAAAATGTACACAAATTGTGCCATGCACACATATTTAAACACCCACGAGCAAAACAAGGGAACAAGGAGAAAACAAGAAAAGAAGAAGAACAAAAACAAAAACGACAGACACAAAAACACACAAACGAGACACGCTCTCACATACGCATCGGACGCATACACTGATACACGCAGCGACGGCGGCTATATACACCACCTGTGCACTTGATTGTCTTCAAAGTAAAAAAGCGAAGCGTTCAATGGCCAGGCCCACCTCCCAATAGTGAGCAACACTGATCATCTAGACTTGGTTGCTGCAACGACCCCCCTGCAAAAAGTGAATAACTTTTTGGGGGTTTAGTGGAAAACCCAACTTGATTTCAACCAAAAAGTTAAAAGTCTAAAGATCCACCCAATTAGCAGTCATCTCGAGACACTAGCATTTCTGAAGACTTGCGCTGTCCAGCCACGAACAGTCACCCGCTCACCCGATGTTAGAAGAACTGACGGAAACAGAAACCGATGGGTGACTAGTGCACCACATCCTCAAACAAGACCCGCCCATGTGTCCAAAGTTGGGGATGCCTTGCCATCAGGCAACCCTTACTTGGTTTGCATCGGTGGCTTGGTGGTTTGGATTTGAACCCCTGGTTCCAGGGAGGTAACTGGGGACCCCCCCCTAAACACCTCTCTCTTTCTGCTGCTGTCCGAGGCCAGTGCCCGCTAGCTGCGTGAAACAGTAAATTCTCATGCAAAAGCAAAATCCCTGTGAGCAATGGAAAAGCACAGGGGCAGCCCCTAAACACCCCCCCAAAAAAAATACAAAACACCCACCCCAAAACCCCCCTAAACACCACCAACCCCCCCCCCCCCCAAAAAAAAAAGCCACCCACCCCAAAACTCCCCCTAAACACCACCAAGCCCAACAAAAAACAAACCACGAGGAATTCCAACCCGCGACCTTGCCCCTGCATCCGCTCCTCAAGGACCTTCTGGCGCCGCACCTCCCAGCGCAAGACCTGCTCCTCGCACCGGAAGCCTCCGGCTGAAAGCGGGGTGACTTGTCTCTGCCCAACTCGGCTCAGCCACACCTGTCCTTTTTGGGGGAATAGATGGGTTTCCCTGGTAGATGATGAAACCACCGATTTGGTAAGCCGGGGATCGCCGTCGATTTTTCAACCAAAAGAACTAAAAAGGACACCTATGGGCTCAGTTCGGAGCCTCGTCACGCAAGTGGGATCCGGGAAGCTTCTTGTTTTACGTATTCTTTTGTGGTGGTTGCACCTTTGTGCCTGGGGGCTGAAAAAACTCGGGGGGGGGGGGGTTGGAACAAATTGCAATTGCAAACTCATCCATCTGAAATAGAAACTCACGGAGTAGTAACCTTAGCATTCCTTAGTAGTATCTTGACTTGCCCGAACTACTCTCCCACAAATCTCGAGTATTCCCCGAGCATTTGCATCTGTGTTTTCCCTGGTATTTTGTTTCTCGAATTCTTTGCTACTCAGAAACCGGAGCGCAGATTCAGGAAACTAGGGTGAGTGCAAACAGAACTTAGGAATATATACTTTGGAGACTAGGGGTGCACCAAGAAAATACTCAGGAACGCTGAATAATATTGGGGGGAATACTGGGGGAATATAACTCTAGGCATATCCATTTGCTTAAACCCCCTGGCAGAAAAAAAAACATATTTCCAGTAGTGATGGATTCCCTTTAAAGCCAGCAAGGCAAAAAAGAACAAATATTCTTACGCAAATGGAGGCATGAGAGACTGCTAGAGGAATAGGGGAATAAGGGGCCGCGCCGCGCGCTTCGCCATGGGCCCGGAGGCACAAGATCAGCAGCGCAGGGCAATAGCGGCAGCCGAGCGGCGGCTTTGCAGATGCCGCGACTCACGCTAGGCTTGGTTTAAATTATTCAAGTTCGTTAATTTGGAACTTGTTGCGTTTAGTAAATTCTTCAGGTTCTTCAATTTGGAACTTGTTGCGTTTAGAAGTCGAGCCGGGCTCGCGTTGCTATCTCGGCAGGCTTTGCAAATGTCGCGCGTCCCACGTTGGGCTTTAGGCTTTCAGTCTTTGACAGGGGTGGTGTAACCATGATTGAAAATACCCTACGTGGACTGAATCGCATTGACAAAAAATGATGTACAGCCATAGCCCGTCACCAACGCAAGCAATCCCTCTTGCTTTTAGCTAGTTACAGGTTGTGCGGAATCACACATGGCTATGTTTGGGCATTTCGTGGTTTCGCTGCTCCAAAACAGAGCTGAGAGAATCTAGGAAGGTCAAACAAATGCGGTCAATTCTGATTGTGACGTTCGCATTGGTATTATCGAAACAAAGCACCAACCTTTCATCATCCGAGTTCTCAACTGAAAGTCATCGATTGACCAGGGGTGTGTCTTCCCATCCTGCGTTGAGATTTCAATGAACCAAGTATCAAGTACATAGAGAAGTGGGGAAACTTCATGTTGCCATGTCTTTCGTTGGTGGCATTTCGATGGCAAGTGGCGCCCCCAATCCGAGCGCATTTGGGATAGAATCTGTACATAGGCCAATGAGTTGCTGTAGGGTCACCGGCTTGGAGTTCCTCCTTGCCAGGCTGTGCCTTCACAGCACGCGTGTTTGTAGCAACGCCGGCCATGCCAGCAAACAGGCACTGCCCGCGGGTCTTGAAGAGAGGTTGTCGCAGTCCAACAGACGCATGTTGATCAAACGGTGTGCCCGGAAAACATTGGTTCTGGGGCCTGAAATGCAGCCACCGCGTCACCGTCCGGGCGAAGCGTCGCTGATTCCATTTTTGTTTCAATGTCGTGGTGCAAGCGCACATGCTTGAGTCAGGTTCTGTCGCTCAGCTATGTCCCTTTGCGTTCAGAATTCCTGGTGTGTGGCTGCGAATTCTCTAAAGGCCTGAAGGCACATTTTTCACAAAAATGCGGATCCGAGAAAAACACATGCAAGAACGTGTGGTCAGTAGTCTAACGATTTGCTTGGGTGCGTGCAGCAGTCGAACGATTTGCTTGGGTGATGATAAGAGTTGCATTGTGTTTTCAAATGTCGAATGTCAACAACAAACAAAGCCTAGTGCCATCATCAGAAACTTCACGCATCACCGGCAGCAAGTTTCGCCCATGTTCTAGCATGTCCGGTTTGTGAGATGTGCGAAATCAACTCTTTTGCTCACATTGGCAGACACATAGAAAGAAGTGACAGACAGGCCGCGTAGCAGCTTGGCAAACTGCCCCCACAAAACGTCTTTGCTGCCTGCCCAGCAAGCTTCCCAGCGCAATCCCCATGTGCCAGTGAAACCGTCACACGCGATACGCACCCCCCAAAACTGCCTTTGCATTGCACACGATGTGCCATGCTATGCTCGGACAGGCTCCAACAAAATGCTAACTGCCCAGAGACAGATTGGTGACATCGCGAAAAAATGTGCACCTTGGGTCATGGGTTGGGGGGGGGCAAAAGGTCCAACAATCAGTGGGCTGGGGGTCAAGAAAGCGTGTTGGGGGTCCAAACAAACAGTGGGGTTGGGGGTCAAAAATACGTGGGTCTCCTGTGCTTCTCCCAACCCTCAATCAGCCCAACCCGAGCTCCGCCTCGTGTGAGGCTTAGCAGCGACGAGCTCTTGGCAAGGCAGTCCGCCAGGATGTTCCTTCGTGCGTTTGGTAGACCCTTTGAAATGGACTTCGGGCCCGCTTGGCGGACCTTTGATCATGGGGCTGGGGGGGGGGGAGGGAAGGGGAGGGGGAGCCCAAATATGACCCTTATTAAGGCCTTATTTAGGGCTTATTTGGGCTCCCTCCCCCCCCTCCGCCCCATGAACCAAAAAACACAAAGTATCAAACAAATGCCCATGTGTCTCAGGACCTGGTCCGCTTGTTCAGACTTTGACTATCGCACCCCCCTTGTTAAACTTTCAAGATGGGTGTGTCTTAAAGGATCCCAAACTAATGGTTTTCCCTTTGGTTACACAAAAAAAGTGCCCTCAATAAATCGCAGAACCAAAGCCCCTTTGGCGGGGGGGGAGTCAGTGGTCCAAGCTTGGCTCTTATCACCCCATGCAGCTAACGAGGCAAACCATGATGCTACCTAGGAATGAGACTACTATGTTTTGTACCGCAGGCAAATGAGGGAACAATTGAAAACTAGAACCACCCACCTCCTCTAGAATACCATGCCATGCGTCCAGTGCAGCACCCGGAGCCGGCGCCCGGCCGGCGCGGGGGATTGCGCGGAGATCCAGCGCCGGCACAGTGACGCCATGGCAGTGAGCAGGGTGCTGAATGGGTGGCTCCTCTTTGTTGGCTCGGTCCCCTTTCTAGGTTTGGTTTCATGTTGCGGGGCTTCACTCAAACAAAGGCATACTCAAATGGGGGGGGTGTCTAGAAAATATCAACTAAGTGCCCAATCTCCTTTATCTAAACCGTCTAGGCTATTTAGCACCGCATCCGACAAAGGATAAGGAAACCGATCTTCTAGCCACCCCCCCCCACGGCCCCGCGGGCGCTATCTTTGTTGGGACACCACTACAACCGACTACAAAGGGAAATGCCATGTGGCATAAGAAGTTTAAAACCCGATAAAGTATGTGGCGCCTCCGCCAATCTAACCCACGCTAAAAAACGGACACTTGCACCCATATAGCGAGATCTAATTGGAGCCTGCAATTGGCTATAGTTCTTGAAAAACGGCCGGCCAAGCGAGGGCGATCAAACGATCTGCTGCTACTCTCCGCAAACTGGATTTCTGACCCGGCTGTGAAGTTCCATGATGGACGTCTTGCGGGAGTAAGTTGTCTATATAGCAGAAAATAGCTGACTTTGACTTGCCTTTTTCTCAGGAAGAAATCAACAGGTTTATCCAGCGAAAACCACCCCCTTCATCAGCTAACCCTTTCGTCAACCAAGAGTTTAAAGTCGGATATCTGCTTGCGCAGTCTGGGCCATGACTTGTTCGCCGGAAAGCTCACAGAAAGTGGTCCACCAGCCCCAAATTTCTCATCAGGGAGTCGGCGCATGTCGTTGCTCTTCCCGGATTTCCGGAGCGCGCCTTCTTCCAAGCGAAAGCGTTACTCGAGGAAAAAACAAAAACCTCCCTCCAACTAAATGGCACCTGACCGGGGGTCCCTCCAAGAGGAAACTGATCTTCCAGGCACCCTCCCTCAGGTGCTACTGGCCAAAAAAAGTCCAAACTTTTGGTTTACCACCAAAATGGTCTTTCCAAAAAGTTTAAAGTCCACCAACTCAGGAAGTGAGTAAGTCTCTAGAAATTCTGCCACGGAGCCGTCGCCTGAGAAGGCGATCGAAACATATTTTCGGGCGAGCTTCTGCGAAGGACATTTGGACTTCCCGAGTCGGACTCGGTGGGCCAGACTTACACCCTCTGCAAAAAGGTGAACGGCTTGGTTGAAAGGGGCATGCCAGAGTTGCGAAGAAAGTCAAAGTAAGTCTGGAACCATTGGAACCCGACCATTGGAAAAACAACTGGTCTGGAAACCCCACTCACTCGGTATGGGGAAAAACGCCGATGCGTTTTCTGTTTGCCGAGGCGCAAGGTAAAGGCAAGTCTTGCAGCAGCAGCTGACTGAAGCGGGAAATGGCTTATCGGCAGGGGGGGGGAGGGGTGTCTGGACAAGAAGAACCTAGTCGAGGGTTGCCTCTTTTGGCGTTGCCCTTTTTTAGTGAGTGGATCATCCCCTTCTTGGTCAAATGGAAAACGAGCTTCCTTTTGTCCTGCAGGGTTAGCGTTGCCACCAAAAAACATATGTTGATGCTTGAAGGTACCTTCTGTTGGTCGGATTTCTGGAGACGGCTTCTGGGGACGGATGGTTTCTGGACCTTTGCGTCCGCAAAGCCTCAGTTTGGCCTGGGATCCTTTTGGAAGACAAGCTTCCGGCTGGCAAGGGAGCCTGTGCAAAACCCCATGCTCGTTGGAAGGGTAGTGAAATATGGGAAGGGAGTGCACATACAAGAAGGTGTGCTCTCCTTTTCTTCCCCCGACGTTTTTCCCCCCCCCCCCCCATTTTCTTCTGCGGTTGGTGAAAGGACAACATGTACAAGCCAAGCAGGCTCGTAAGTCAACCACGACCTAATGGACTTGCGTCACCAATCACGCCACTATAAGGTTCCTTGTCATGGGGATCCCCCTGGCGAAGACGCAAACAGGTCATATGGCTGTGGCTCAAAAACCCGGTGCCCAAAATGGAACCCTGGTAAGTGGAAACATGGACCAAAACCTGCGGTTTGCCCTCCTGTTTAATTTTGAGCCGCACCCATATGAGTCGCTCAAGGCCTGCGGAAGAGTGCTTAGAGGCGCACAAGTTGGCAAGGGGTGGCCAAAAAAAAACCTAAAACAAAAGCGGCTTGAAACGGGCTCACTCACCTGGCCAGGGTCTCCCTTGGTTCCAACAGCGGCAGTGCTAAAACGGTTAAGCTGCTGTGTCTGCATCTCCGGGTACGAAGTAGTAGACTTTGCTTGCCAAAACTCAGTTGTTCAGTGACAACTGAAGAAAAAAAGGAACCCTTTTTGGGGAAGACCATTTTTAGTGAGGCGGCCACCAAAAAAATGGAAAAAGGGTGCCACTGAACAACTGAGGAAACGATCCCGCAACGGACAATGGAGGTCCCCTCTCCAAAGGCCTCATTAAGGGCTTGGGTGGCGCAGTCGCGCAGCAACGCTGCGCAGGGAAGTGTCTTTTCTAGAACTTCTCCCATGTGGAGGCAACCCCATCTGATCAGGATCTCAATCTGGTCTTTTTCAGCAGGCTGCGCAGCACATGTGTTTGCTGACATCCGGGGCAATTAGGGTGAACTTGAACAATTATTCAGGGATCCGAGATCTTTCTTTACGACAACAAACACACATCGGGAAACGCCTGAGCTTTACTGCCCAAAAGGATGTTGTAGTCCAGCTAGCTGAAGGGCACAAATCCCTTTTGTAGTGACCCAACTGTTTCTTTGTTGGGGGCGATGCTTGCGATACCTGGGCCATGGTCTGTCGGGGGAAAAAACAACTCCTCTAGGGGTTGATGACCATTCCGGCCATTCCGACCAATTCGCGCGGGTTCGCCCCTCGAGCACCAGTTGGGATGGCTTCGTCACCCCGCCAACAAAACGGAAAAACCAGCTGATGCAGGAATTCAATCACTTCCGAATGACTTAATTGGCCAGAAAAAGTTTATCAACTTTCGGTTCACCGACCAAAATGGTCCAATCCCATAAAGGCTTGTTTAGAGTCCAAAAACTGGGTCCTCCAGTAGAGAGGTTGCAATAAGGGTACCCGAATCTTTTCTGTCGTCTATTTTAGTCGGGGAACCCTCCCCCCAAAAAGTTGGTAAAAGGGCGCTACTGGGGGACCTAGAAGAAGGAACTCAGGGGAGATCCCCCGAAAATCGGGATTCCCCTTGGATGCCCTTGGGCCATTCGCCGGATTCGCTGGTCTCGCTCGCGACCTCGCCCGCGCGCGCGCCTCTGATGGAGCAGCTGCTGGGACTTGCTGGGGATCCCACTCTGCGCCTCGATGGCCGCCTTCACTTGCCTGGAGCGAGCGGGTGGTGGTCGTAGCTCCTAGCCCTTGGCCTTCCTGGTGGCCAACCAACTTCATACTGCGGGTGGGGGTGGTGGGGATGGGGTGGTGGGGGTATGGTTGACACCATGGTTTGTTGGAATTCAGGGGAATCAACATTCCAGGCTTTCGAAGGTGGTGCAGGATTTCGTGGTTTGCATAGCCCTTTTGGGGGTGAAACCAAAGGAAAGCCAAAGGGAAGCCACACGGAAACCAAAGGAAAGCGCCCTCGGCCTGGGTTCCAGCCAACTTTCTAGGGCTGAAACCAAAGGACAGCCAAAGGGAAGCCTCGGGGAAGCCAAAGGGAAATCATCGGAAAATCAAAAAAAGGAAACTCAAGGGGGAGGGATATCGATATGAACGCCAGGCCTTTGGGTTCATCCCAAATATGTAAAACCACCCCAACCGATGGATCAAAATCACCAGGGGAGGCTTACAGGGCAAACAGGTCACTTAGGGATCGCTCAAACGGTTCACTTAGGGATCACGGTCACTTAGGGATACACGCTCACTTGAGGATCACATTCACGGATCACTTAGGGATCACATTCATTGATGATGGAGGTGGGGAGGGGGGGGGGGGGGTTGGTATGATAAGCACACCCGCTCAACTGCTGCAGACCAGCCTGCTCCTTTACCGGATTACAAAGTATCTGGGGAGGGGGTGGGGGGGGGGGATGATAAGCACACCCGCTCAACAGCTGCAGACCAGCCTGCTCCTTTACCGGATTACAAAGTAACATGGCTCTGGGGAGGGGCGGGGGGGGGTTGGTATGACAAGCACACCCGCTCAACTGCTGCAGACCAGCCTGCTCCTTTACCGGATTACAAAGTAACATGGCTCTGGGGAGGGGGTGGGGGGGGGGGGATGATAAGCACACCCGCTCAACAGCTGCAGACCAGCCGGCTCCTTTACCGGATTACAAAGTAAAATGGCTCTGGGAGACCAGCCTGCTCCTTTACCGGATTACGAAGTAACATGGCTCTGGGGAGGGGGTGGGGGGGGGTTGGTATGATAAGCGCACCCGCTCAACTGCTGCAGACCAGCCTGCTCCTTTACCCTCGCTCAACAGCTGCAGACCAGCCTGCTCCTTTACCGGATTACAAAGTAACATGGCTCTGGGGAGGGGGTGGGGGGGGGGATGATAAGCACACCCGCTCAACAGCTGCAGACCAGCCTGCTCCTTTACCGGATTACAAAGTAACATGGCTCTGGGGAGGGGGTGGGGGGGGTTAATCCCAGGCTGTTTTTGACACACAGACACTGCACAACACCTCGTTACGGCTTTATAAAGATACTCGTATGTTTTTCAAAGACCGCTTTTTAGCGCACACTGATTTAATATACCTCCTTCTGGAAACGATGTACAACATTGTTTGGTTGCCCTCATGGTATGATAAGCACACCCGCTCAACTGCTGCAGACCAGCCTGCTCCTTTACCCTCGCTCAACAGCTGCAGACCAGCCTGCTCCTTTACCGGATTACAAAGTAACATGGCTCTGGGGAGGGGGTGGGGGGGGGGGGATGATAAGCACACCCGCTCAACAGCTGCAGACCAGCCTGCTCCTTTACCGGATTACAAAGTAACATGGCTCTGGGGAGGGGGTGGGGGGGGTTAATCCCAGGCTGTTTTTGACACACAGACACTGCACAACACCTCGTTACGGCTTTATAGAGATACTCGTATGTTTTTCAAAG